TTATTGTTAGCGGGTATGTCTACTGTATTCGTTGTATGCTTTTGTTGCTCTTGTTGCTGAAGTAGGTGTGAGTGATGGTCAACTTGATTTTGGTGTACATGTTGTTGCTGTTGTTCCGATGTGGTGTTTCGATCGATTTCATTTATCACATTATTTTTATATTTTGAAAATCGCGTAGATTCAGACCTATTGTTTGCACTTATTGATGCAGATTTGTTGCTTTGCCGACTATTTACTGTTGAATTATTTTCATCAATTATTGCAATAAGTCCTGGAGGAGATACACCCAAGTCACTGATGACCTCCATTGAATTTGTTACTATATTTGAGGAGGGTTGTGTATTTGGGGAGCTAATTACATTATCCATATGTGCTAAAGTAGTATAGTGACTATTTTCTATGGCAATAGCTGCATAAATGTTTTTAACCAATAAAATATTTTTATTTTAACGAAGTTCAATTAATTATATACTAATTATTATATTTAAATAAGGAAATATTTATCTACAATTTGTGCATGTGAATGTAAGAGATGATCCCTTGGTTAGCGAAACGAAGAAAACCGTGGAAGGATGTTGTATTTCTTCTTAACATATTTTACATACGGAATGTTGAAGAAAACTATCGAAAAATCTTTCAGTTATAAGAAGCTAAATATAAATAATAAATAACATATAACAAATAACATATAAATCAGTTTTCATCTTTCTACAAGATGACTAAATTGTTATTTGGATGAATTTAATTTAGGACGGCATTTCAGCTGTTCTTATATGTTATTTTAGAAAATTTGAGGTTTTTATAGGTAACGTTTTTTGGGTAAAAATTTTTTTGATAATCTGTATCATAATAAATATAAACAATGACCTATTCTCCTCAAATGATTTATTTCGTTTCTTGTGACAAGGAATCACTCCTCAGATTTAAGTCATAATAATAAAGAACAGTCGGTATATATTACCTATGTCACATTATATAAGTGTACAAATGTTTTCAAGTTCGTTAGTCTTAACGCCTACTATAATGTAACATAAATTTGTGAATTGGTTTTTTTTATATATTTTCTTAAATTATTATAAGAACCTTACAATAGTCATTGTTGGTACATGGTTTTTGAGCTTTTCTTAAGGGAGATTGTGCTTTCAATTTTCAATTTTCAATTTTCACTGTGCTATTAACTCTTACCTGTATAAAAAGGTGACGAATTCTGGTCATGGGAATTTGGATTAAGTTTCAGATCTTGCATGTTAATGGGCACCAAAGGGGTAAGGGTAGCACTGCCTATTTGCATTTATATTCAACAATGAGAACATGCCAAAAAAACCGAAAAAAAATAAAAAAAAAACAAATAAAATGTTAGAATTTCAAAAAGGGAATCAATGATGGATGTGAATTATATTTGAACTTTATAAACGCATTTAACAACACTTTCACACAGCCTTTTTGTATTTACCTAGTGGTGCTCCAATTGGTGGCGTATATAATGAACCTTGACTTTGTGATATTGTTGTTATACTATCGTACAATATTGAGTCAGTTGTATTTCCCGTTGCTGGAGTAGAAAATCCGTTATGAGTATCATAATAAGATGTGGCGCTGTTTGCTGTTAAGTTTCCTAACTCCGACAAGAGTTTATGCTCATCCTTAATGCACCATTTACCTGACCATATCTGCAATAAAATATTAGTGAAAAGCATTAATTATAATTTGAAATTCTCTATTTACTCTAAGAGTAATGAGATATAAAATAACTTGTATAAAATATTAAAAGACATATATTTTCTATATTAACTACTTGAAGTACTTAAGAAGTTAAGTAAACTACGTAAGACGCATGGGTTTGGCCAGACCTTTTTTGAATTTTTACAAAAGTTATATACATTTGTTATTTAACTAGAGATTTTAAATTTCTGGTACCATACTACAAAATCGTTGAAAAATAAAGACGATAAAGCCTACGGAAGGATAATTATATAAATGTGTTGATGTATATATTAAATTTATATTCATATAATTCGTGAAGCCGCGAAGGTGAATTAGACATTTTTAGATGAAGAAAAGATGAAGATATCTAACTATTTTCTACTTATGATCAAAATAAACCATATAAAATATTCGACAGTGAAGACGGCAATTAGAATGCACCTAAAATAGAACTATAAAGCGATGAAGGTGGTTTTTATGATTAAGGTGATACGAGTAGTATGAATGAATTAAATGCTGGTGTTTTCAACAATAACATAGAAAAATACTGCATTCAGCAATTATGTCTTAGAATTGATTCCGTACAATGACGCCATTTATTCAGTTTGATATTAAACAAATACATCCCTTCCGTATGCAAGGAGGTAAAACAGGGAAAATTATATACAGGTCGAGAAAAAGGGGATATACTACATCAAGTAAATTAAAGTGAAAACGTTATGTTACAACTCGCAAAAATGTGTACTAACAACGGCTGTACTATTACTGCAGACAACTTCTTCACAACATTGGAAGGAGCCAAACGATTGTCTAAAATTGGTCTAGCATTTGTTGAAACTATTCACTCTAATAAAAAATGTATCCTAGATGAAATGAGAGAGTATCCTTGACGCCCAATTCTTTCAACCAAATTTGGATGTCACAAAGACTTGATTTCTCTTTTAGCTACGTGCAAAAAAAAAATAAGTGTATAAACTTACTTTACACACTGCACTACACCAAAATTTGTATAGAAACAACAATGAAACCTGAAACAATTTTATATTATAGCGCTAATAAAGCAGGCTTTAATTGTATGCATCAAATGATTTCTTATATTAATTTCAATTGCGCAATTTAGTTTAAAAAATCTATCGATATATTTCAGATTAATTATTTAAGTCAGATTACCATCTATGAATTCTGTAACGGGATAAACAATCTATAGATAAAAACTTAATATTTGATTAACTTAGTGAAAGTAAGGCGCCAGTATGGGATGGTAAAAACAAATATCATCCCATACGTGATATGACGCAAAAGTATAAGGATGCTAAACAAGTACTTAACAATTGCTGGAAACAGACTGTATTACACACTATATTAAACAAACAAGTTGGGGCCTCAGACAAACATAAACTGTTTTTGATGATATTCATATGAATACGAATGAAGTATATTTGATCAAGTCAACTCTAATTAATCCAGACCAAGTGTGAGGAGAAAAACATATTCCTGAATGCGGAAAAATTGTTGTTCTATTATCAAAAGAACTTTTCGCCTACCTATGAGCAGGTCAAGTTATATGCTTCGCATGAAAATTGGTCTACTAACGATTTATGATTATGATTATGATTACGTATTGCAAATGCATTTTGATTGCATTAGGCGCATCTTCAAACTGTCTGAAAAATAAATACAATTTAAAAATGTGCAGTATCTTTTAGATTAAGAAGCCTAATTTTTAAAAAAAATCAATAGAAGTAACAGGCAAGCTGGAGCTTTCTACAGATGAAAATATTTAAAATTATTGAAGAAAAACATACTATGTTATGTTCATAGAGAAAGCACGAATCAGTCTAACGAGAGATGGATATAGCAGGTTAAGCTATAATATAGGCGAAAACAATTACTTTCAGAACCAGTATGGAATTGACAGGAAGGGCATCATTTAATATTTAAAATAAGAAGAGGGGTCCTGAAACTTTGATATATTCTTTATGTACACTGTACACTATCTTAAATATTTTTTTTAATATGAAACGAGATGTGGTGGTTTTATAGAAGAATATCGTCAACTACAAACAGCAAAGAAGGAATTATTTTAAGATAGAATATACAATATATTAGTAATGTTATCATTTCACATTACGATATAAAAATATTTTTGTTAAAATATTGAGTCCGAACGTGAATGTATTAATGTATTTATTTATTTACTTTTAGTAATATTTATTATATATAAAAAAAATTATAAATAAAAATAATAGTTTCTATAAATATATATAAAAGTAATTCACTACTGTTCAAAAGAACCTCTTTATAAATAAAATATAAATACTCAATTTATTAAAATGGCTAATATGACTTTCACATTGTCCTTGGGTTTAAAAAGAAGTTACGAACCCTATTTTAACGGACCATATTATCTTATATATACTATATTTTTTCGAAAAATCTTGTTAATTTTATTTATTACTTTTTAAATTAGATATGCTAAATAGTTGTATTAAATTTTGTTATTGAAACGAAAAAAGTATACCAAAAAAATTTAAACTATAAGCGACTTTAATATTTTTAAAGAGTTAAAAAATTTGTAGATTTAAAGTGACGTCGCTTATAATTATACTCGATAAGCAAGCAAAGACAGTTTTTTGATAGAAAATAAATAGAATTTTTTTTAAATTTGGGCAAAAAAAAAAATATTTATTCAAAATAATTCATTTTCACTAAATTTGAGGATTGTCCTTCAATACACCAGTTCAACACTTTTGCATAGCTTATACATCCGCACAACGCTTTCCTTTTGCGTGTTTTTCTGAAAAGATGAAAATATTAAGGTGTCAAATCAAACCCCAATAACTGAAATCTCTATAAATTCCTATTTATAAAAAGTCGTCTTTACATTCGAATGTATCTTATAGACCTTATGATGTGCATCTTCAATAAATGGCATTTATTCTTGTAAACAAGCTTCTTAATATTAATTAATATCATTTTGCAATTTAGGTGTGAACACTTCACTTTTATGAAGAAAGCTTCGTAAAACACTTTTATACGATATATGGATTATTTTAACAAAAATAAAAACATTTTATAAATATGTTTAACGTTTTAAGCATATAAAGTTACGTACTATTCTTATAAAAAAAAAATATAATACTGATAAAAAATTTAAAAAATATATTATATATATCTTGTCAACTAAAGAATTTATGTTAAAAAATTGTATTTATCGAAACTCACATTTGAATAGATCTGATCACCGTTATATATAAGTCTTTGGCGTTTGATGTCGTCTTCGGAGTGCATGTTAATATCACGGTTTTCGTCTGAAATTAATAAATAATATTTATATTTGGAAGGTTTAATAAAAATTAATAACATAGTGGTGTGAAAGTGGTGGCACATTTAATTATTAAATTAAGCTATCTAACAACAATAGAAGGGTATATACGCCCTGTCATATGTCAATTCAACATATTATTTCGGGTAGAAATAAATATTTGAGTTATTTTAAAATGCTTTTAAGAGACACGTGCTACCGACATTCCAAAATAAAGTTGCAGTAGAGGCGTTCATTTAATTATTGTAAGATATGTTAACAAAATTATCAATAAGTCGACATTTATAAATCAAATTATGCTTAATTGTAATTATGACTAAGTAAAGCATTTAATATTACTTATTAATTCAAGTTTTTAAAAGAGGTAAGCTAAGATATATGTTAACTATTCTATCAGATTTAGACCAACATCACTTCACTTTGAAAATTTTCTATTATTCTATTACTCCCCTATGCAACATATTTCCTTTCCAACACATTTCCCACAAGACTACTTGAAAATTGGCGTCTAATTTACATATTTCAGAATCTGTTTTACTTCGGATTGAAGTGTTATTATAATATCAAGTTAATTTGTGGTATTTTGACTCGCAACAACCACAAGCACTTACAAACTGAAATAAGTAAGCCACAATCAACCGAAGATAACAGAGCACGTTTGAAGTTGCGCACGAAGACGTGGAAGACGGAGTTTGGGCGAATCCTTGAAAATAGCTTAATTAACTGATTTGCTTTCGAAAATGTAAATATCATGTAATAAAGAATGCAAAATTTTACTTTAATTTTAATAAAAAATATGTACCACCATATACATCCAGCAAACCACCAACCACATGCCATCAGCAATAAAAATTGATGTAATTGTTTTAATGTTAATGCTTTTTGTCAATCTTGCATGTGCTTACAGCTTAACTTGGAATTTCATATTTCCTTTAATCTTATCGTTAAGTGTTTGGTTACAATAGCAAAATGCGCTGAATGAAAATACCGTAAAGGCGGTAACAATCAAAATACACTTACGCCTAGATATGGATCTATGTGCCTGATACAGACAATGATTGTGATTCTGCTTGAACTTGTTACGTTATTACTTTGCTACATTCACAACAGAGATGTGTCGACCCACTCACCCATATACTACAGTACTTCAGTACTACAGTACAACAGTACAGAATGCTACAGAATGCTACAGTATGCGCACAACAACACCACCAATTGCAAGCAATAAAGCAAAACATCTGTTGTTTTGATAAAAACATCAAAATCGCTTTGGTTAAAGGAGTAAGCAAAAAGTGAGCTCAAATATGAATATAAATGCACACAGAAGAGTATAATTTCCAAAGTGGCGAAGTGGGTGTATTTTGTGTGCATTGGCCTGTTAGTCTCCAAGGACTTGTCTACATAATCACATTAGATAAAAAAGAAACAAATTTCGGCAGGATAACTACTACCAACTACCAACACAGCAACGACTGCAGCAACAGGAGCAGAAAAGACAATGGGGAGAGAAAAAGGCAAGTAATTCAGGCGCAAGTGGCAAAAAGGCAATTTTAATGATTTTTATGATTTTTGTGCACTGATGAGGGTTAGTAATGAAAATTTTGTGGCACAATTGTATGCGAATATATGTCCATATTTATTTTCGATACTACTATACGAGCGATACTACATCGAGACACGGCCGAATCTTGTGTCAAGTTTTTTTTCTTTCATTTTCATTTGAAAAAAGGTACTTTAAATTTAATATGCGAATGTGCTATTAAAACTGCAAATAACTATATATCAATACCAAATTTGAAATCGAGGAGGGAGAATACTATTGGATGTCCTAAATAATGAAAGTTATTGAGTCCCATTTTTGTGCGTGGAAAAAAAATCACTACATAGATGAAAATGTGTCTATAAAAGAAAATGTTTTTAAAATTCATTAATTTTTTATCACATTTTTTAGAAAAGATAAATATAATGCTATATTATGCTATAATATAACAATAACATATATTTAAAAAACCTCTACTCATTTCCACACATTTTTAGGTCCAGCGAACGCATAATCGAACTTTTAAGAACAGCTTTTTTGTCGTCATAAGAAGCGTGACTTTCGGCGAAATTATTAACTTTAATAAATAGAATTGGAAAAATGAACAATAATATAGGTATAATATTGTTCAGCGATTCGTAGTAATATTTGCATAGTTTCTCTATAAAGTGGCACCCAAAAAAGGTGCTTTACATATAGTAAAAATATGCATAACAAATGTTTATGCATCAAGAATAGAGTTGAAATAAAAATAATCAACCTCAAAAATTAACTTTCAATTCGTTAACTTTGTGTTCCCAAATAAAGTTGTAATTATCAATCTCGGTCTTATTGCAAAGTACAGCAAGTGCTTTGGTTAATGTCACTAATTAAATAAAAACTGACATAAAACTTGGAACTGGATCATTGAACGTTTATGCAGTCTCGGCTATATGTGGAAAAACACGATTAGCCATCACTTCTAATTTGACAGGCATGGGTGTTCTTAAGCCTGGAACTTGCATTCCAACCAACTTATATACGGACTGTAAACTAATGAAAAAGAAATTCAAATATCTCCTAAGACCACTGATGATGAGTACTAGAGTGTGTTACACACCATGATCCGGTGGAGGAGAGAAAAATGTTGTGTATGAATTTTATACACTAGCAACATTATTTATGAAGTTTGACAGTTGTCATTTTAACTGAGTAGTGTTTGTTAATAGTTTATTATTATGAAGTAGAAATGTAGAAAATATTATTCTTATCTGTAACTTGAATAAATAAAGTTGAAATATGATCAGACAGTTTCAATAACTTAACTAAATTTTTGTTCTTATCTTTTCCTTTCTATTCGATCCCTTCTAACTTTTTAAAATAGATTTTTTGTCGTCATAAGAAACGTGGCTTTCGGCAAAAATCACTTAAACTAAAAATAAATTTGTGATATATTAATAACTATATTTTTTTTATATTTTTGCTTACTACAACTATTACTACAACTATTACAACTCTTTTGCCCATAAAATGTTATCATTTATTCAAATATATTCTTGGCTGTAGACAGGTAGCGAGGCAAGAAACTCAAGGAATAATTTTAATAAACCTGACAATTGTGTATTCTTCGTGTAATATATAAGCTTGTTGACTTACCGTGGTGATCATCAGAATGTTTTCTTTTAACATTACTGCCATTGAGCTCTGTTGCGCCGTGGTGATGTTGTATACCTAAAATTCCATTAATACTGTAGCCAGTTGATCGATGTTCCATGCTGCTATTATTATTATCATTGACGCTGTTGGGCGTCGCTGATCCGTTCAATAAACTCTGATTATGTTGTTGTAGATGAACTGTGGTAGTTCCAGTGGTTGGTGCATTTGTTGGCGGTGCATGCGCTATAACAGAAGTAGTATTGTTGTTTTGGTGCTGTTGTTGATTTCCATCACTTCCATTATTTTCCGAATTCTCCGATATATTGTTACCAGATACACCATTAATGCTGCTATTATTAGAATTCCCTCCATTTCCATTGGTTTGTTGCGTTTGCTGGTGATGAACGTGCTTTGCTTTCTCAGCAGCTTTATTACGTACAATCCTAGCAATAACATTAAATTAAAAACATTATTTTTAAATGTGCCAATGCAATTAAATTTAATTTTGCAAATGTACAAAATTCGTAATAGTAAATTTAAAAAATATTTTAAATAATTATTTATTAAAGTGAAGTGCAGTAAAGTTAATTTTCCGTTAGGAAAAATACTGAAATAGTGATTTTAATAATAAGTAATTAGAACTTCATGGCCCAATAAGAAAGATAAATTGAAAGAAACTTTCTCATAAATAGATGGACTTATATAGTTTATTGTTACAAAATCCGTTTTTTTAATTAAATCATATAATGAACTTATGGTATAATGCAGTATGTCTTGAAAATCTACTCCACCTTCCCTTAAGCTTTTCAATATCATATAATATCGAGACATGATGCGTAACAAATGCACAATAATATTGTTTATCAACTAAAATATTGTATTAAGACTTTAGTATAAAAAAAGAATTTTATTAATATATATTATCACAGTTATTATTTTTGCTGCTCACTTAATATTATATCTGGTTTTCCTGGTCTAATAGAGAATTAGTAAGATTACAGTTATCTGTATACATGTTTAAATAAGTGGTGGTTGTTTATAATAATATGAAAGAAAACGTGTGCCCTTAGCTCTTCATATCGCTATGAGATTCATATAAATATATGTAGCATAGAAATGTTAAGGTCGATAAAGCGATTAAAACTTTTTGCCAATATAGAGTATTTTAAAGGGGGACTAAATCAGCTGGAATGGAATTAAATAAATCCAAAATATAATTTTCAAAGGATAATGTTCATTAGTGTACACTCAATTGAGACATATGTTAACTTACTTTCAAACATTTCAATTGATATAAAACATGTAAGTGCAAAGTAAGTGGAAGTTGAGTGCCATAAGTACCACTTTATTTAACATCCCAAGAGACAATCACTTTCATTAATAGTATTCCATATGCCATTGCTAACTAAAAGGACTACAGAGAGCTTTCAAAAAGTGTTCGTTTTTATTTGCATTGGTATTGAGATTTTTGTTAACAGAAACACAAAATGACTTTTTCCTGTTTTATGGAAGTGTGCACAAGTTAATGTTTATGGTTGTTGGAATATGAGGCTCAGGAAAATGCCGTTACATCATTTGAATAAAGAGTGATCACAACTTTGTTTCGAGATTGTAGGGTATCTTAGCTCTCTATATTATATATTATTGCAAATATTATGCAAATTGGCCACATACATCTTTGATGCCAAGTATCTATTAAACAATTACAAAGCATATTTTATACACATAAACTATTCGTAGTCCGTAGTTCGAGGAGCTTAGATATAAAAAAATCAAAGTAAGAACCATGACGAAGACCAATTTATTATTTT